TGAGGGTGACCCCATTTTTGCTGTCATTCAGTCTTTCAGAGATGAATGTCTCTCCTCATACCTCTTTTCTTAATAACACATCATCTTGTTTCCCTTCTCCTATCTCTCAACAATGAGCAAAGACTTCAAGTGGGTTTGCAGGCTCTGTTAGAAAGCATATTACCACACTGACATCCATTTAATTTCCCTTAGGCAGCAAGATTCCCCAGAGATGTGAGAGTCTGAAATTTGGGGACCAAGTAAGAGAATCTGCCTGCATTAGCAACACAAGTACCCAAGGAGAAGTGAAAAGCTTCAGCCTCAGCTCTTCCCAAGGAAAATGAAAATGTTGCCAAGAAAAAAGCAGAAGCAGAGGCTTAAACAGTAATAAAAAGCTAAAAAGTTAGGCAGAAAAGGATGTCATACCTACTGAATATAAATCTATAAAAGAAACCTGTTTTTTGTGTTGTTTTTTTTAATGGCACACACTGGAATGCATTAAATTACAAGCTGGAAATCTCTCTAGGGAAAGAATAAGTACGTATCAATTAATAGAAGTGTTCATTGATGAAGTAATGGTTCATTCATAATTTATTTAACACATGTCATTCAACTAGTAATAAATGACATTTATGAACAAATAAGAGGCTAGCCACTTCCTAATTTTTTTATTCCTTTTTAAGATCTAGTGACCACTACCTTCATGACTTTTCCTTTATTTTAAAATCTTTACTAGTTATATTTTTTCAATATTATTTTTATTTGTCTCTACTTGACACATCTCCAGCCTGCTGAAATTGGTATTTTCATCAAATTCTTAAAATGTAAAGATAATGGAATTTAGTTCCTTAAAATAGCCAACAGGCCAAGTTAGAAAACTATATACTGGGAAAGCTCACTAAAAATGCTACTTGTGAGTTCTTTCTAATTTCAGTTTTGTAGGTGTAACTGCCTTACAATGAAGATCTTTTTATACTTGAGGAGTCAAGTCACTCTGAATGGAGTCCAAGACTTTAAATGAATTCCACTTTATAACACATTGTGTTTTATCAGCGACACAGTATAAATTCATATCTCTCTTCCAAAAGATCTTCAGAACTCTGATGAGTGAAACACTTCCAAAATTAATAACAATTTCCTACAATAGGTTAAGCAAGTGAAGTTGTAGCATCTCTTTCTGGAAGACTTAAAGAACAGGGAAAATTCCCATTGTAAGATTTTAATATTATGTTAATAACCAAATAAAATTCATTTCTGAAGGACAGCATGGAGAAAAGACAGATGGGAGGAACTCTTAATGTGTGAGGGTAGGATGAAATAGAGCTATCTTCGTCCAATGATTATCTGGAAAATATACTGAAGACTGAGTCATTGAGACATGTTTCATCATACCACTCCAAATAAACACAATGGCTATTTAAGGAGTTTGAGTTTGTGCTCAGCAATGAAAGAAAAAGAAAAAGATAGGAGGAAAATGTTATAGTTGACTATTGGCATATGGCTTAAGTGTGGGGAAATGCAAAAGATCTGCTAAGCAAGTCCCCTACTCTGAACTCATGCATGGTGCTAAAATATGAATGGAAGAAAAAAAAAAAAAAACATGGATAGGAGCTTCTAGGACCATCTTGATTTCAGCCTTTTTGCTGGATCCTAAGTCCTCATCTCTGGCTTGGAAAATTTGGACACTAAGTATAATTCATATTCATTATATTATAGAGCTATTCATCTTTGTCTCTGCAAGTTTTTCTCTAGCTTCCCTGTCATTTATTAATATCAGATCAATGTAATACTGAATTGTAGGAAACATAAACTAAAGAATTTATTTTTTTAGTTTCAGCTCAATTTGCTTTAAAGCCAGTGCCCCTTTCCACCATTCCTTGCTCCAACCCACCATTTCCCTAGGGGCACATTTGTCATTTTTTCTAGCTTCTCTATTACTTGTTGGAAAGTATATTGGAATTAAATATGTTTAGCTACATGAACCCACATATTCAACCAATATTAATGAATCCTCACTCCCTTCCCATAAATAGTGGAGAGTACTTATATAAATTGTATATAAGGAAACACTTTCAGTTGGCAATGTGCAATTTTATAGTGAGCCCTGCCATATCCTAGTAATTGAGTGATTATGTCTTACAAGTTTGGTTATTACTCATTCAACCAGTTGTAAGCAACATAAATTGAATCTAGAAAACTTAAGAAAAAATATATTTATTGGAAGATGTTAGGAGCTTGGAAAATCAACAGGAAGGCTAGAGAACAAAGCAGGAACTAAGAACTTCACATTCAAGATATAAAAAACAAAGGGAGAGTCTTAGAAGGATCTTCTCAGAGCGGCATCATTAGACTAAACAGTCTCCAAAAGAGCCCATCTTCTGTCCCTCAGCTAAAAATTAAAATTCCAGGGGCACATGGGTGGCTCAGTTGGTTAAGCATCCAACTCTTGATTTCAGCTCAGGTCATGATCTCAGGGTCATGAGATCAAGCCCCATGTCGGGCTCCACACCAGGCATGGAGCCTGCTTAAGATTCTCTCTCTCCCTCTCACTCTGCCCCTGTCCTCCCTCTCTCTATCTCTCAAAAAAAAAAAAAAAAGTCAAATTACAAGAAGGTCATTTGTTCAGCACTTGTGGAAAGAGCACCTGATTAACAAGCCCACGAAATTCAATAAGGGAAAGGAAATATTAAAAGTTTGGAAAAATTCACTATTCTTATTTAAGTTCCTAGCACTCAAGCTGAAATATCAGCAGCTAGTACGTGAGCTATAATCATAGAATACTGGTCATGTTTCAAAAGGTCTGTCTTAGAATGACATGTACAGCGTTTACTTTGCCCCATCTAGCAATTTGCCTCTGTCACTAAACCAAACCAACACAGAAACCAACCTCAGAAAACAGTGAATGGCCTTAAGTCATAGGTTAATAAAGAAACAAGAAATTATATCTCAATTTAAAAATTAACTTGAAAATTTATTAAGTATATTAAGAAACAACGACAACAAACTTGTTCCTCCAATGGTCATCCTCACTTGGCAAAAGTAATAGTGTATATGGCTGTATATAGAGAGTGTCTAGTTTTATACACTGTGACTTAGGTATTTTGTATGTATTACCTCATTTAATTCTCACCAAACCCTGGGTATTAATATTATTGTCAGCCCTCAGAGGGATTCTATACCTTGGCTAAAGCCTCACAGCTATCAGGTGATCGCCCCCTTGACATAGGCTGACTAGACTCAGTCAAATGGGTTGAGTTTTACAGGATGCAGGAGGACCATGGGCATGAGTTGAAATCTCAGCTTTGCCACTTACTAGTTGAAGGCAAGAAATTTAAACCTCACTAAGCCTTGATTTCCTCATCCATGAGACAGGGAGAGTCACACCAGGGTCAGCATGAGTCACTGCAAGGTCAGCCCATTGTTGCAAAGAGGAAAGGGGAAATGTATATAAACTACTTAGCCATGAAAGCTTGTCACATATTAAGTACTGAGTAAGTGATGGCTATTTTTAGTTATATGTCTGTGTCCCTTTGCAGACTAGTCCTCGAGACTCAGGTATTACTCTTTTGATATTTGTATCCATAGCACCTTTCTCAGTGATTGGCACATTAACAAGCCCACATAAATATCTGCTGACCAGGAAGTATTTGTATTGGCATGCACACTGCCATGTTGTACTCTAATGTTAGAAAATAAGCTCCTCCTTATATTAACGCTCCTCCCTGCTCATTAAGCAAATGATGCCTGTTTTCCACCACCCGACTCCCTGGCCTCAGACTTTAAATCATGAGGTCAGGGACAGTACGTCTTCTGTTCTGTGGATCCTCAATGCCTAGCACAGAGCCCCGTACATAGTGGGAGATTAACAAATATTTGTGAACTGAACTTATAATAAACATTTGTAATATATCTTTCAGTTCACCTAGCACTTTCACATAAACATATTTCTCAGCAGAGCAAGTTCAACATATCTCTTTGGCGCCAGACTGCCTGGGTTCAAACTCCATCTCCATCATTTACTAGCAGAGTAGTCTTGGGTAATATACCTAAGTTTTTAATGTCTCCATTTTCTCACCTGTAAAATGAGAATAATAATTGTATTGGGGGGCACCTGGGTGGCTCAGCTGGTTAAGTGTCTGCCTTCGGCTCAGGTCACGATCCCAGGGTCCTGGGATTGAGCTGGCATTGGGCTCCCTGCTCAGTGGGGAGTCTGCTTCTCCCTCTCCCTTTGCCCCTTCCCCCAACATCGTGCGTGTGTGTGTGTGTGTGTGTGCTCTCTCTCTCAAACAAATAAAATCTTTAAAAAATAATAATAGTAGTATTGAGTTGTTGTATGTATTAAAATGTTAATTTATATAAAGCTTGTAAAACAGTATGTGGCACACAGTAGGTGTTCTTTAAACTTCAGCAATGATTAATTTTGTTTGTGGCTGTTTTCCTCCCACCACACTGTCAGGAATAAATTATTCCAACTGCCTAAATTATCTTTCCTTTCACATAAGAAAATATGAAAAGTGGCATCTTTATTTCAAATCCTAAAATCAATTTTCAGAAGAGCAAATCATAATCTCAAGAAACTGACTTCCAAAGCTATTTGCAAAAATAAATGTATTTATAGAGACTGTTCTTAAAATAAAATAATCCTAAATGGCTCAAGATACTCTGTAGTTGAAAGCTCTTCCAATCACTCATGCTGGATCCTTGTCCCACAACATTTGGCTTTATTCTTTCCACAAACAAGAACAGCTATATTGACTTGAGCAGAAGCGTTCATGTAAGTAAAACACCGAGTGGTGGAATTAGGTCACGCTGTCCTCTGTCTCCACCACAAACCTCATTTGCCCTATTATGGCAAAAAGTATGTCAATTTCCCCAACACTTTGAGCATGAACCTGGTGATTAGGCCACACATTACTTAAAAATTCCAATCATTGCATTCAACCACTGATGCCTCTCTACACATTGGAGAGAGGAGCAGGAGAAAAATAAAGGCAAAGAGGGCACCTGGGAATTTCATTTACCTTCAATACTGTAATGTTCCAAGCAAAGCTCTCAGTTGCCTTGTTGAGTTTTCTTCCCTTCAGGCCTTCTTTCGCCCCTAGATTATGAAGTTCCTCGTGGAATTCCATCCCTTTGATAAAAAAGAACATATAAGAATTCTTAGTATAAATTTCAGAAAAATGGGCATTTATTATGAAAAAAATCCCATTCCTGTTCTTTCCTCTATAATTTTGAAAACCCTGAATCAAATGCTCCTTCCTATTCAGTTCATCCCCACCAATGGCTATCCTTAGGGGCAAACTAACAATAACCAATGCATTAGACCAAATTACATTTAAACAGCCAGGAGCCACCAGATAAAGACATAAGAAGGAGGTTAAGAACCAAATTCTTCCAATAGGTTACATGTGTCTTGTTGCTCTTCTACCTGGTTTTTATGTGAAATGGTGTAATGTGTGACAGTGTGACCAGTAAACCATATGTGATAGTTGCACTTCTTTTACTTTTCCTTATAAACTATCCATATGGTTTGACAGTAAACCCTGGAGTCCATATGGATAACAACATTAATCAATAAATGTTGAGTCAAAATAAAAAGATATTTTATAAATAGCGTTCCTGGAAACAACTAAATACTGCAGATTTGGTAATGGCCTTAAAAGTTATTTTTAGCTCAACCATTTCTCAAGCTTGACTACTATAAAAGATATCACCATCCTCAGAGACGGGAATCACACTTTCTTCTGGACAGCTTATGCCATCTTTGGAAAGCTATGACTGATATCAAGCCAAAGTCTCTCTCCCTGGAATCTTTACTCCTTGGTGCTAGCTAGACCCAGACCAGCTAAATCTAATCTCTTTTCCACTGTGCAGCCCTTTAAATATTTGAAGGACACTCAGTAAATTCCACTAGAGCCTTTTCTCCTCCAGATTAAACATTCTAGCATGTTTCAGCTTTACTATAAATGTCTCTTCTTTAAAGATGACATCCAGGCAGAGTATCTGCATCACACAGCTTCCTGGAGTTGAGCTTGTAGGGACCTGCACCCAGGAATATCATATTCAAAGTGGGCTTGAAGCAGCCCACACAGGGTAGGGATTTACCACCACCCTTCTTGTTCTAGTTACTCTACTTTTACTAAGGCAGCTAAAAACCACGTTAACCTTTCTGGTGTTAATATCACAAATATAGCACATGGTAAGAGCATGATGGTGGGGTTGGGCTTACAGTCTGGCTCTACCACTTATTAGCTACATAAGCATGAGCAAGACCTTGAAACTCTCTGCAATCCAGTTTCCTCATTAGTGAAATGGTGATAACAACAGAGTTTACCCCCAGGGATTGTGGGTGCAGATTAAATGAGTCAATACATATAAAGCTCTCAAAGTAGTATCCAGCATAAAAGAGCATTATATAAGTACTGGTATTATTTTTGTGCTTTCTGTCAACAGAAACATTTAAGCCTGTGGACCAGCCAGCGAAGAGCACCATTTTTAAGGTCTAGTCTGGGTTCAGAGGTCAGCTCCACCCTGTGTTAACATGGAATCTTGAATGATTCACTCAATCTCTCAGAATCTCAGATGCCTCATCTATAAATTGGATACTTGCAGAGTTGTCATAAGGACTAAGTAACAGTGTGTGTGCACAGTATATCATATGCAAATATATCAAGCAATCGTCATTATTGTCATCTTCCTCATCATAATCATTATGCATGGGAATCAAGGAAAATATAAATCCAAGAAAGATAAAAGTACAGGGTGTGTAAGAAGGTGAATATAAATAAATAGAGGGGTGCCCTCACAGATATGTGACCCATCCCATCCTTAAAGAAAGAACAAATCTAAAATAGTGATTAATACATGAGGCAAAAGCCTAGAAGATTAATAGGATTATGGCTGAAATTATAAAAATGAGGTGGTTCTTAAGGGACAATGTGTAGTAAAGGGTTTTGACAGACTTCCAAACCACAAAAGTAGATTCAGAACCCCTCACCTCTCTAGACATCTTCAGATACTACCCCCCCATATACACACAACCCACCTACTGTCACCTCAGTTTCTTCTGTACTAAACAAAGACTTAAGTTTAAACTCAAAAGTATAGCTAAACTATGGCACAAAATATTTTAATTTTAAGAGCAAAAACAGAAACTTTAAAAACCACCAAGTTTCTAAACTTGGTTTCTAAAGTTTCTAAACAAAATGGGGCAGAAGTAGGGGGATTACCTGCTTTCTGACACTGCACAATCTTTTCCTGGACTGTATCTGCCATTTCTATGAGAAACCGGCTCTCTTGAATCATCTGTCACAAAAGAAACATAAAAAGGTGATTGTTAGAACTCCTTAAACTGTTCCATTGGAAGGACAACATACAGAGAGATGCACCTTATGCTGGCAGTAATGGGGAACCATGGCCTTAAGCACAAGAAATGGAATATGGAAGGATAATGTCTGCTCCAACCCCCATCCACTCTAGCTCTAGCTAGAGTCGCCTACCTTATAATTACTTCAGCCATGTAACATGCTTGGCACACCAGAGATGCCAAATAAACAACTATTAAATAAATGTATACACATTCTTTAAGTCCCAGATCACATTCATGAACACCTCTTTTCCACCCCCTCACTCCAAAAGTTACTGCAACATCAAGGCATGTGATACTGGAACAACAGCAACAAGAATCAGAATAGGAAATCACCTAGCCGTGAGCTAGACAACTGAACACATCAATGAGGTTAGCAGCTTGGATTTGGGTGGTCCAAAGATGGTGGAGGTCGGGTCCTCCCTCTAAAAGGGCTCCAGCTCCGCTGGCAAGAATGAGGAATGGGTCAGATTTCAGAGCCACCAATTCAACAGAGGTTGTAGGCAATAACACTGAAATGGTTGTCCCTGCCCTTTACATTTGGGTAGAAAAGAAAAATGTCCAAGAAATAATTAATATACTAAATGAAGTAGGGGAAATAAGACAACTGTTGGAGAGATGGAGAAAAGAAAAATCTGTACTTGAAGAAGAGGGAAGATAATCGGTATAGAAGTTGTAATCAGGATGACAAGGGATTGGGGCCCTTTTGAAGAAGTGACTGAAGAAAGGCAACCATTAGGCAAACTAACGCTTCTTGAATTTCCAGCCACTTTTTTTTTTATTTTTTATTGTTATGTTAATCACCATATATTACATAATTTGTTTTGGTGTAGTGTTCCATGATTCATTGTTTGTTCATAACACCCAGTGCTCCATGCAGAATGTGCCCTCTTTAATACCCATCACCAGGCTAACCCATCCCCCTACCCTCCTCCCCTCTAGAAATCTCAGTTTGTTTTTCAGAGTCCATCATCTCTCCTGGTTCGTCTCCCCCTCTGACTTACTCCCCTTCATTCTTCCTCTCCTGCTATCTTCTTCTTTTTCTTTTTTTTTTTCTCAAAATATGTTGCGTTATTTGTTTCAGAAGTACAGATCTGTGATTCAACAGTCTTACACAATTCACAGCACTCACCGTAGCACATATCTTCCCCAATGTCTATCACCCAGCCACCCCATCCCTCCCACCCCCGACCACTCCAGCAACCCTCAGTTTGTTCCTGAGATTAAGAATTCCTCATATCAGTGAGGTCATATGATACATGTCTTTCTCTGATTGACTTATTTCACTCAGCATAACACCCTCCAGTTCCATCCATGTCGTTGCAAATGGCAAGATCTCATTCCTTTTGATGGCTGCATAATATTCCATTGTGTATATATACCACATCTTCTTTATCCATTCATCTGTCGATGGGCATCTTGGCTCTTTCCACAGTTTGGCTATTGTGGACATTGCTGCTATAAACATTGGGTGCACGTACCCCTTCGGGTCCCTACATTTGTATCTTTGGGGTAAATACCCAGTAGTGCAATTGCTGGATCGAATGGTAGCTCTAATTTCAACTGTTTGAGGAACCTCCATACTGTTTTCCAGAGGGGTTGCACCAGCTTGCATTCCCACCAACAGTGTAGGAGGGTTCCCCTTTCTCCACATCCCCGCCAACATCTGTCGTTCCCTGACTTGTTAATTTTAGCTATTCTGACGGGTGTGAGGTGGTATTTCATTGAGGTTTTGATTTGGATTTCCCTGATGCCGAGCGATGTTGAGCACTTTTTCATGTGCCTGTTGGCCGTTTGGATGTCTTCTTTGGAGAAATGTCTGTTCATGTCTTCTGCCCATTTCTTGATTGGATTATTTGTTCTTTGGGTGTTGAGTTTGATAAGTTCTTTATCGATTTTGGATACTAGCCCTTTATCTGATATGTCATTTGCAAATATTTTCTCCCATTCTGTCGGTTGTCTTTTGGTTTTGTGGACTGTTTCTTTTGCTGTGCAAAAGCTTTTTATCTTGATGAAATCCCAATAGTTCATTTTTGCCCTGGCTTCCTGTGCCTTTGGTGATGTTTCTAGGAAGAAGTTGCTGCGGCTGAGGTCGAAGAGGTTGCTACCTGTGTTCTCCTTTAGGATTTGGATGGACTCCTGTCTCACGTTTAGGTCTTTCAACCATTTGGAGTCTATTTTTGTGTGTGGTGTAAGGAAATGGTCCAGTTTTATTCTCCAGCCACTCTTGTACTCTCAGTAAGTATTGTCCCATTTCACCTGGCTATTCTATGTTTTGTCTGTCTGAATATTCTGAAGGAAATTCAAGGCAGAATCCAAAGTGGACATAAAGTGTTGGATAAGACATTTTTCATAATTAAATGCTGTTGAACAGATTGCAGTCTTGTACAATCACTGATAAATATAAAGTGGTTTATGATTACAAATTTTTAAGTAGAAAAGAATATTGAATCACAATTTTTAATGCCTAACAACTCTATAAAGGTAAAATTATATAATTCACTTATTTAATAATTATCTACTGAGCAAACACTATATGTAAGCACTGTAGTAAGTACAAGGGGTGTGATGCATTAAGGAGCAAAACAGACACTCTTCTATCTCCATGGAGCTCAGAGTCTAGCAGGGAAGTCTACTCAAAAGGATGAATGAAATATGATAATTCAACAAACCAAATTGAATTACTCATATTTTCTGCCTAAAGTGGCAGTTTAAAGTAAGTTATTTGGAGGGTTAAATTGACGATCAAAACCATTAAAGTAGATACCCAAGAAGGTCTAGACTGAGTCACATATTTTAACTGAATTAATGCTTTCAACTCCCAAGAGGAAGTGGAAAGTTAGTGAATAACAATTTACTAAATGCCTAACAGTAACCTGACTTACTGCAGCTTCCAAATCAATGAAACTCACAAGCAGAGAAAGATTTAATATGAGGCCCATCTGATTTAGTCTTTTCTAAGCTTAGCATCCATGCATGCAACATCAATTGAGTTTTATTATAATT